CCTCCCCTAACCTCCAACTCTTGAGCTTAAGCAATTCTGTTGTCGCAGCTTCCCAAGTAGTTGGGACTACAGGTGACCACCACAATGCCTGGCAATTTTTTTGTTGTTGTTGCAGTTGTCATTGTTTAGCAGGCCCTGGCCAGGTTCAAACCTACCTGCCTCTACATATGTGGCCAACGCCCTAACCACTGAACAATAGGTGCCAAGCCATTTATTTATTTATTTATTTGAGATAGAGTCTCACTTTGTCGCTCTTGGTAGAGTGCTGTGGCATCATATCTCGCAGCAGCTTCAAACTCTTGGGTTCAAGTGATCCTCTTGCGTTAGCCTCCCACATAGCTGGGACTATATAGGTGCCGACCATAATGACCAGCTATTTTTAGAAATGGGGTCTTATTTTTGTTCAGGCTGGTCTTGAACTTGTGACCTCAAGCAGTCTGCCCACCTCTGCCTCCCAGAGTGCTAGGGTTAACAGGCATGAGCCATCACGCCTGTCTCTTGAGGACCGTTATTGTAAGCATGTTGGATTTACTGAGTTACATGATTACTTGTAATCCCAGCACTCTGGGAGGCCGAGGCAGGTGGATTGCCTAAACTCATGAGTTGGAGACCAGCCTGAGTCAGAGTGAGACCTCATCTCTAAAAATAGGCAGGTGTTGTGGTGGTTGCCTGTAGTCCCAGCTACTCCGGAGGCTGAGGCAAGAGGATCACTTAAGCCCAAGAGTTTGAGGTTGCTATGAGCTATGACACCACCACACTCTACTGAGGGTGACAAAGTGAGACTCTGTCTCAAAAAAAATTATGAAGAGTAAAAGAAAAGTTTTGGGGTGTGGTAAGATTAAGAGTTCAGTTCTGGACATAATAAATTTGCGATGCCTATTAGACACCTAAGGGGAGATGATAAGGTAGTTGGATATGCAAGATGAGTTAGGGGCAAGTCTGAGCTAGAGATATAAATTCAGGCATCGTCAACTTGTGTGCCGTGTTTGAAGCTGGAAGCCTGGACGTGGTTATCTAGTGTTCTTGTGAGGAAAAGGAGAGAAGAAGGGTGGCGAGCATTCCAGTCTTTACAGGGTGAGACCGTGAGGGAAAACTAGCAAGGACATGAGCGGCTGTTCAAAGTAGAACAGGACAACCAGAAAAATGTGATGTCCTGGAAACCAAGGGAAGAAATGTGTATCGAGGAGGAGAGTTGACAGAATGTGTCAGTCAGTACTGCTCGTTGGTGAAGTGACATCAGAAGTGAGAATTTGAGCTCCTTCTCCCACCTTGGCCCCCCAAAGTGCTGGGATTATGAGCCTGTGCCACAGCACCCAGCAGAAGTGAGAATCTGAACTTCACCCCTGTGTTGGGCACTAGTGATCTTGGTGGGTAGTTTTGGTAGAGTGAAGTTCAGGGAGTAAAAGTCAGATTAGGATTGGTTTTAGAGAAAGAATGGCAGCACTACCCAGGACAACATGCCTTTGCACTGAAAATTAAACATATGTCTAATCAAGCCCTTGGATATAATTTCCAGTTTATGGAACACAAAGGGACTAGAGCAGTGGTTCTCAATCTGTGGATCATGACCCACAAGGATTGTATTAAAGGGCCGTGGACTTAAGAAGGTTAAGAACCGGCT